TATTGACCAAAATAATTGTGATTATGATTTTTGCCATAATCGAGCAGCCGTAATTTGAATTGTGAGATGTATGAAGTTTATTTTGTCTCAAATCTCGCACACACAAAAACTTGTGAGGCATTAATCAGTTAAACATTAATCAGGTCAGTAATCAATTAAGTGAAAGTGACGTGACATGTGGCCAAGTACCCATACTAGGAATTAGTGCTCTGTGTTTAACCCATCCTAAGTGCACACACACAGCAATGAACACACACCCGGAGCAGTGGGCAGCCATTTTTGCTGCGGCGCCCGGGGAGCAGTTGGGGGTTCGGTGCCTTGCGCAAGGGCACCTCAGTCATGGTATTGAAGGTGGAAGAGAGCGCTGTACATTCACTCCCCCCACCTACAATCCCTGCCGGACTTGAGACTTGAACTCGCAACCTTTGGGTTACGAGTCCGACTCTCTAACCATTAGGCCACGACTTCCCCTACACATCAAATATGTTAAAGATGTGTACACTAAGTTAACTTTGGATCATTCAAATTTGAATGCTGCTTCAGAGTTCCTGCTGCTGGTGCAAATGCTACCAGGAAAACGGCCCGAGGGAGAAATTGGTTCTCGAATGAACCTGATGGCTAGTTCCTAGACAGGCCCGGCTTCAGAATCAAAACAGTGTGCTTCTTAAATTAGTGAGGGTGCTGTAACCATAATATATACAGTATATATATATACATACTATATATATATATTTTGTGCTGTCCATTGCTATGGTGCAAATAATGCTTCCTTTATAATCACTAAAAAGCTGTCATTCAGTTCATCTCGATCTCACAAAGTTAAGTGATAATCGATTAAATTCTCTACGCTGCATAATGATAATGAAAGATTAATGCATAATCTTATTTACATTGCGTCTACAGTGATTCGTGCTGAACACAACACCTGAACAAAAACTCCAGCGATTTGAGCGGTGAGGGGATTCTAACTTAAACTGTAATTCTAACTGATCGTTTGTTGCGTTTGAGAAATAAGCAAATATGTCTGTGATTAACATTGCTCAACGCTGCAAATAAATCGAAACCGATCTCCTAGAGCAGTGGTTCTCAAACTTTTTACAGCGGCGTACCCCCTGGGGCATTTAACATTCTTCTGCGTACTCCCTCTCTTCCACTTAGACCACAGTCACACCTTTTCTATTAAAGGACAATATTTGCACCCTTAAATTGATTTACAGGTGCATTTTTTACCTTTATAGAGGCAAATATTTTCTATCCTTATTAATTGTATGTCATGTTTTATGTCATATTCTTAACATTTCATTAAGTGTATTATTAATATAATAAATAAAGCAATAAATGATGGCAAATCGAAGTGATACTTGTAGATTTAAAAATAAAACAGCCAATAGGTGGCGGCAAGTCGCTGTCTTAATGAGCCAGGCGTCGCGTCATTCATTCATTCATTCAGTAACGAAGCAAAATGCTGTAGTTATGAATGAGTTATTAATCACTGACTCTCCAAATTGTTCAAAGCCGCAGATTCGTTCACTAACGAAACACCGCTGTATGATGCTTTTGTAAAAATGTAAAAATTTATGGCACATTTGCCATCGTTTGGATCTTCAGGGAAATTTGCATTCTTGCTCATATCTTAAACATGAAAACAATAACACGCACAGAGTGTGTCTGTATCGAAGAGAGTTTAAATCGATCTCAATGTACAGTGCGTGTCAATATTTGCTCTTCATGCTATAAAGTGAAGATCTACTTTAAAGATACATTGAACAGCAGCGCTATTTGCTAAAGCAGCATATTCAGCGGGCATCCTATCACATGCACGCTACTTGTGTGGATGCAGTCAGTTTTGACCGCAAAAAATGAGGTAAGCTGATTGGATATCATGTATTTGACCGTTTACGCACCCCCATTTTCCTGTTTTTACATTAGAAGCGGCATTTTGCTTGTCAGAAATATGTTCGGTTTTAATGTTGCTTTAAGTTGGGGTATTAAATGAATGCCAGAACTCAAAATTTTGTTCACGTACCCCCCACCGTCATCTCACGTACCCCCAGGGATACGCGTACCCCAGTTTGAGAACCACTGTCCTAGAGCACAAATCATAACACATTGGATAGTTTGCCAAATCTGCAATGAAATGCCATTATTACAACTTTAACTGAGGGTGCTTAGCACCCTCTAGCACCCCCGTAGAACCGGGCCTGTTCCTAGAACTATGCGGTGCAAAAGCACCTTTATAGCCCCTTTCGTACCGGAGGAACCTTTTCTTTCCTAGAACTATTGGCGGAAGTACCCGGATGCTTGCGTGTTCGCACTGCAGGAACTAGGAACGATTTTAGTTCTAGGAACTCATTTTACGGGAACTAAATTAGCTCATACTTCAGAGTAGGGTCTAAGCCCGCGCTATAGGAACTACCAGTTCTTTCCGACATTAAAGCACTTGAATATGACAAGCTCGTAATCACGACTTCATAAGTGGGAAATAGGAAATTTCCGGTAGCACGTGAAGGCAGCATAAACCCGCGCTATAGGAACTACCAGTGACGTAAGTGTACGATGATTGGCCGAACGCATGTGGGAAAACGCCGGCATCCGCCATTTTTAAAAAGCCGGATAAACACACAACAGTTTATTATTCACGGAGCAGTTTACAGTAGGCTACAAGATGGAAAACAGTGACCATATGTAGAAATGCAAGTTGCATAGTAGATTTCGTCTCTTAGTCCTCTGATTTGCTCTTTCTATCGCATAACTTCTACGTCTACATTCTATCTCCATTATCACGAAACCCAGTATATACATCAAAACAGCACCGATCACGGTGTCCTCCATCCTTTTTGTTGTTTACATTGCTGAATGCTGCACTTAAATGACGTTGCTGTCTGCCGGGTTATGTTACTTCTGAGTTCCTGTTGGCTGTGCGAATGCAACCAGGAAAATGGCCCTGGGGAACCTAAAGTTCCTGTGGTATTATCCGACCGGCTAGTTCCTATAACTTAGTTCCTAGAACTATGCGGTGCGAAAGGGGCTTATGTCACTGGTAGTTCCTATAGAACTACTCTGAAGTAGGAGCTAATTTATTTCCCCAAAACAGAGTTGCTAGAACTAAATACGCTGCTAGTTCCTGCGTTGCAAACACGCCAAAAAGCAGGAACTTCTGCCAGTAGTTTGCAGGAACCTCCAGCGTGAAAGCCCCTACTGATGGGGCTCTAGAGGCTGGGAAACACTGGCCATCCACAAAATAACCACTAAACACAACATAGAGCAAAAGTAGATTGTATTAGCCCTAGACTAACACCATAGTTTACAGTGTTCACTCATGTTTGCTCTGCAGTGTAATGTTAGCTTACTTATTTATCTGAATGGCTGCAATCAGTCAGGAAAAACAGCTCAGACGATTTATCATATTACACAAACTATGTATTGTTTTAAAAATGTGAACTGTTTAGGTTAAACAACTACATTTTTCGTAATAATCCAGTAACAGAGTTGCTACCCAGTGAAACCACATATCTATATATTGTAACACCATAGACTACATTTGACTGGATGTTGAATGTGACCAATCAAAGGAAAGGAGACATCAGCCACTGTCCCCGCCTCCAAAATCTCAGAAGTAAACTTGATGAGCCAGTGTTGAGCATTTGGGAAACACTGTCACAGTCCTGTGCTCACGGAACCACTTTTGTGCACGCAGAACAGAAAATGCTGCCTCTTGAGTGTGTTTTTATGCGCTCTTGGGAGAATGTTTTTTTTTTGCACTTAGATACTGTTCTGTGCACTCGGATCGTGTGCGCGAGCCTTGTTTTTATGTGCGTGAGATTTGCGACTGAATAAACGTCATAGTGTTGCAGCTGGGCTGGGCTCTGCGGACAGATGTCGAATGGCGCCGCCGGTGTGGGGGTAGAAACCCTAACCCTATGTGTTCAAATTTGAAAGACGTGTTCTCATCCAATGTGCGACCCGTAGGGCTAACTGTAATCTGTGCTGTGTTTGAAATCGCCTCCTACACCCTCTGTCACTATTTCCTGTATTAGTCCACTAATATATTTCAGTTGAAGGAGCGACTGAAAATGATTGAGCGAATTTGGATACTGATCGTGACAGTAGGGCTGCCTCTTTTTCATAGTAAGTGCTTAGTTGCTGTTTAAAATAATAATCATTTGAAACTTTGCAAGCTGGCAGCTCCAGTAGTAATGAAATTATTAATATTGAACTCTGTCATGGAAACTAGCAAGTATAAACCTCACTTAAAGTCCGTGTGAACTGGAAGTTGCTGCCGACTTTCATTTGCCGACTACACCATTTCAGTATGGTCATGTATTTCCGACTGAAACGGAATATTGAATAGAGGGTGGGTTTTATTTTTGCGCTCCTCCTCTCATCTCTCACTCGCAGCAAACTAACGGTTGGAGGGGCGTGGTTAAGCATATTCTGCCCAAGCCAGAGCCGATCCTCCCTATATACGCTAAATACGCAAGCTGCGTAGGGCCCCCCTTGCTTTTAAAGATGATTTAATTTTAGTTTAGTTTTTGAATTTGGCCAGCGGTTATGAAAACATGAATGATCATTCCTTTTAATGCGGTGTGCTGTCGCCCTTTCTACGCCCTTTCTAACTCTGCAGAGCTGCGGCCGTCCAGGAATTGAGTTTGAGACGACCACTAATGAGTGCACTTGATAACGTCAACTATGGTTTTGGACACCAAGATAAATGGCTGTGCCGTCAGTGCCCTATTTAAGGGTATATGGGACGATTTCAGACACATACTTTTTTTAAGAGTTACCACACTACACTCTCAAAAAAAAAAAAGTACAAAACTGTCTCTGGGCCGGTTACCTAAAGGGTCCATATTTGTACTAAACGTGCGAAATTAATGTGGGGAAAATGAAATACTCTGAAATGCAAGTGTGTTTAGACAAACTTACAAAGCCAAAAAGAGTTGTTCCCTGTTCTCCCCTTTTTGCTGGCTTGTAATTAACTGTTTATTTCTTCATTTTTTTTCGGTGTTGATACAGATATATTGCCAGTGTCGGTGATAGAGGGAGATTCAGTCACTCTATACACTGATATTGAAACAATCCAACAAGAAGAGATTATATGGTATTTTAATGATATTCCCATTGCTGACATCACTGGAGATCAGAGTATGAACTGTACAGATGTTCAGTGTAATAATGGTGCAGAGAGATTCAGAGGCAGACTGAAGCTGGATCATCAGACTGGATCTCTGACCATCACAAACATCAACACCACAGACTCTGGACTCTATACACTACAGATCAACAGCAGCAGCGAGAGTCTTGTTCAGCTCTTCAGTGTTTCTGTCTATTGTGAGTCATATGTTCCTTATCTGCTCCACAGTTCTCTCATGTTGTGTAGTTTGTTTGTTGTTATCGGCAAAAGATCCTCCAGCAGCTGTTGGTTTGTGTTTCAGATGCTCCTGAACGAGATAAACTGAAGACAAAGTCAGTGAAGGAGGGAGACACTGTTATTTTAGATCCTGGTGTAGTGAAAACCACAAATTATTTGATGAAATGGATTTTTAATGACATTCGCATTGCTGAAATCAATGGAGATCTTAGTTTTATTTGTACAGATGTTCAGTGTTTATATGCTGATGTCAGATTCAGAGGCAGACTGAAGCTGAATCATATGACTGGATCTCTGACCATCATGAACACCAGAACCACAGACTCTGGACACTATTATCTACTGATAACCACCATCAGATCCAGCATCGTAAAGAGCTTTAGTGTTAATGTCACTGGTGAGTATAATCTTTGATCTCGTAGGTGTTTGATCCACTATGTGAAGTGAGAACTGTCCGTCTTGCACTTATTTCACTACTCTCAATCTTTATGATCTGTAGAAAAGGACATTTTCACAGCATTTCCCCATTTTATAATTTTCTTTTGCTTATAATTATGTTTATTTCTTCAGGTTATGCTGATGCAGAGAAAGTGTCAGTGGTGTCAGTGATGGAGGGGGATTCAGTCACTCTATACAGTGATGTTGAAACAAACCAACAAGAAGAGATTAGATGGTATTTTCATGACATCCGCATTGCCCAAACCACTGGAGATCTCTGTTTTATCTGTACAGATGTTCAGTGTAAATATAGTGATGAGAGATTCAGAGACAGACTGACGCTGGATCATCAGACTGGATCTCTGACCATCATGAACATCAGAACCACAGACTCTGGACTTTATAATAATCAAGTCATCAGCGGCAGCAGCCTCAGTCACAAGATGTTCAGTGTTACTGTCTGTGGTGAGCCATTGCTTTATATAGCAAGTTTTGTGCATTTAAATCAGATCATTGTGTTTAGTGATTGTACAGCGATTCAAATTGCAGAGAATTTATGTAAAAAGTATGCAAAATATGTTTATAAGCACAAAATGTGGACAAAATGTACTTTTCAGACTGAAAGTCAAGAAATACCAGAAAATCACTTTCATATCCACAGTTCTTTCATGCTGTGGAGTTTGTTTGCTATTGATTTTTGTTTCACCTGTTGGTTTGTGTTTCAGATGTTCCTGCTGCTGAACGAGATGAATTGAAGAGAAAGTCAGCGAAGGAGGGAGAATCTGTCACTTTATACACTGGAATGATAAAAAACCCAAATGATTTAATGATGTGGTATTTTAATGACACTCGCATTGCTGAAATCATTGGCGAACCCAGTAAGATCTGTACAGATGATCAGTGTAAAGAGAGATTCAGAGACAGACTGAAGCTGGATCATCAGACTGGATCTCTGACCATCAGAGACATCAGAACCACAGACTCTGGACTTTATAATAATCAAGTCATCAGCGGCAGCAGCCTCAGTCACAAGATGTTCAGTGTTACTGTCTGTGGTGAGCCATTGCTTTATATAGCAAGTTTTGTGCATTTAAATCAGATCATTGTGTTTAGTGATTGTACAGCGATTCAAATTGCAGAGAATTTATGTAAAAAGTATGCAAAATATGTTTATAAGCACAAAATGTGGACAAAATGTACTTTTCAGACTGAAAGTCAAGAAATACCAGAAAATCACTTTCATATCCACAGTTCTTTCATGCTGTGGAGTTTGTTTGCTATTGATTTTTGTTTCACCTGTTGGTTTGTGTTTCAGATGTTCCTGCTGCTGAACGAGATGAATTGAAGAGAAAGTCAGCGAAGGAGGGAGAATCTGTCACTTTATACACTGGAATGATAAAAAAACCCAAATGATTTAATGATGTGGTATTTTAATGACACTCGCATTGCTGAAATCACTGGAGATCAGAGTGAGGTCTGTACAGATGCTGATGAGAGATTCAGAGACAGACTGAAGCTGGATCATCAGACTGGATCTCTGACCATCATGAACATCAACACCACAGACTCTGGACTCTATAAACTACAGATCAGCAGCAGCAGAATCAGTATCATAAAGAGCTTCAATGTCACTAGTGAGTATCATTAGATATTTATTTCCTTTTCCCTTGAACAGTTTAAGAAAACGGTTTGAAATTTTTTAATCAACCTAGTAAATGTTTTCACTGTAGTCTGTTTGACAAAGTGGACTTGGGCCTTTCACACTTGAAATAGTCGAAACTGGGTCATTCTAAACCTTGTGAAAACACAATCTTGGGTTATCTTGTTTCATGTTTCGCACTGCTCTAAATATGCCTTGGCTTAATGACCTTATTTGCATATATGCAGTGTCATTGATTATGCGGTCTACGTATTGCCGACTGCTATCAAGTTCTTTTCCTAAATTAACTTTTCAGACTATAAAAGTAAGAACGAAAGGTGTCTTTTTCACCTCAAATGACGTGTTTTCGGTCACCATTTGACATTTTCCCCCCTCAAACACTGAAATGACTAAAGACAAATACTCTGTCCACAATCAATATCGACAAATCACAGACAGTAAACTGATGTCCCATTCTATTTCTGACGTATTACAAGCGCTCACGCTACTTCTGACATGAAGGTCGAATGGATTTGCAATGGTCGCTTTGTCACATCTAGTGTAGTGTAGACACAGTGTTAAAGTTGATTATCAGTCACTAACAAAATTATAATAACTGTCTGTCTTTAGTGGTTTCAGATTCTGGTCTGTCTCCAGCCGCTGTAGCAGGAATAGTAGGTCTATGTGTTGGTGTAGCTGCTGTTTTACTGCTCGTTGTTGCTGGTGTGATGTACTATCGCAAACGTCAAGCACGACAACGTGGTGAGTATTACATACAGATGATTTAAAAAGATAAAAAATGTGTGATGTATTGTGTAAGAATTTTTAATTTTGTATTTTTATTCTAATTAACCAAAGTAATGTGTGTTTAATTGAGTTTGTTATTGTTTACAGATGACGTTACAGGCATGGCGATGAAGTTAAGTAAACAGGTAAGATACTACAGTGAATCTGCCTGTGTGCAAAATACACTTTCAGATCTGTGAGTTGACCAAATGTTTTTGTTTTGTGTGGTTTGATTCAGAATTTATTGCGTAAAGACATTAGTAATTGACTCTACAAGACTAATCTCCTACTTTATAATAAGGAAGAGTGGTATGAATAGGCTACATTTTATAATTAATTATAATAATATATATGTTATAATTATCATTATACCATTACATTTACCGTAAGCAGTTACAAACCACCTCTAGGATTAAGGATACAGTGAAATTTTTTTTCTACAGAAGCTTGAAAAAAAAAAACTACTATTAAAAAAAAACTAGAATTTTTAAAAATTGCTCTATTACTACTCTATTAATATTTGTCAATACTATACTTTAAGCATTTTAGATGTGCAGGCTGTTTAGGAAAGAATAATACAGATTTTCAGATATCAGTCACATTTCTTTTACCTTCTGTGAATCTGTTTTCTTGAAGATTGATAAAGACCCTGTTGATGACTCCTGCCATGATTCATTGAAACTGACTGAAACTGAAACTGATGACTGAAACTGAGGCTGCCAATGAGACATCACAGCAAGTTTATTTATGATGTTGATACTTTCATTTAAAGGGAACATAAGGAAACTTAATAGTGTTGTGATACACATGTTTCAGTATTCAGCACAAAAAAAAAAATCTGTGACATTTACGGTAAAATACCGGCAGCTGTGGTTGCCAGAACTTCACCGTAAAAAATATGGTAGCAACATTTTAGGTTTTACATACTTATCTTAAATTCACAATAAAATACCTAGGTTTTACAGACTTAACTTAAATTCACAATAAAATACTGTATTTCATTAACTGATGTAATATCAATAAACCAACATATTGAAGTACTAATATCTGTTTTGAACCATTGTAATGCGCTGATAACCACCAAAAACTAGTGGTGATGAGATTAGAGTCACCATCATGGTAACACACGATACTGAAATAATGCAATAACATTCATTTAACAACATTAGATGTAAGATAAAACCTTAATGTACACAACTGATAAGAAAAAACTAAGAAGAAACAGTTATTTCAACAACAAAAAAACATCAAATATGAAGAGTCTTGCAGGGAATTTTGGGAGTGTCAATTTACGGTTTTTCACTGTAAATTATACAATAACTTTTTCTTTTTCACTTCCAAAAACCGTTTTTGAAACAGTATTTTACTGTAAAATTACATTAAATGTAATTACATTTATTCACGTATATAGTATGGAAACTTACTGTTAACCAATTAACAGGTTTTTACTGTAGCATTTTTAGTCTTTTACTGTTAAAATCACAATCATTTTTTACAGTGCACCTTGACCCCAATTTCAACTAAATTCAAACTTATTTGCTATGATTTAGTTTTAAGCCATTTAAATAATAAATAAAAAAGTAGCCTATTTTTTAATTATTATTATGTAACAGCTTCAGAAAAGACAAACAGTAAATTGGCAACTAAATGAGTTTGAGAAAGCCTGACCAGAAAGTAGTTTTATAAGTTAAAGCTATATGAGGAGTTAGAGGCAGAAATGTTAGTCTCATAAGAATGTTTTTAAATGTTTAAATGCTTTCTTGAGCCGACATAATAAAGTAAGAAACAGAGAAAAACATTATATCCAATAGAACAAAAAGAGCTTGAGGTTTTTCAGTATGTCAAGGTAATGTTACATCTTAATGATTTTCGTATTAGCAGCTTTACAATTTTACAGAGGAACAACCCTGACGAAAACACCAGAATGCTGTTATTCCCAAGATTCACGTTACTAAAAACTGGTGTTTTCAGCTGGAATCCCCTAATTTAGGTTATGATTTGTGCTTTTGTTTGTTTGTTTAGGGTGTTGTTAAAGGTTCAAATCCTGCAAGTGTTGATCAATGAAATATCACCACTGTGTCCTTGATGAAACTCTGAATCTCAGGAACTGTACCTGCAATAACTGCACTGAGAGACACTGTGTACGGAAGCAGCAACAAAATGCTGAATGTGTGTTCCACAACTGTTACTGCATGCTGAATAAGCTTTTATTTGTTATTAAGCATCAGAAGGGTGTTTTAAATACATTTAAGGGATTTTTTCAGATGAAAATGAGAAACAAATGGCGCTTTTCCACTGCGTGGTACGACTCGGCTCGGTACGGCACGGCACGGCTCGGCACGGTTTGCGTTTCCACTGCAGTTCAGTACCGCTTTAAAGTGGGCGGGATTATTCACATGTCGTTATAGTTGCGCCGCCTCTATTGCCGCGACTCCTGAAAAACTTTTTCATTTCGCGTCGCCCCATCAAGCTCTCGCTGGATCCGCTCCTCTGCTATCAACGAGAGGAACGTCTGTACTTCCTCAACAGACAACGAAACAGCCACTTTTTTGGTTGTTAAAAAAGGTGCGCTTGTTCAAAACAGTTACGTGCGATCCTTCGCTGGCTGTGCTGATTTAAATCTAGCGGTTCTTTTGTGTTTGTGGCGCAAGTTCAGTGACGCAGGTAGTGATGATTCTCTCCGGCCAATCCGTGATCAGCAGAGTTTACACGTCACGTTTTGGTAACGGTACGGTTCACTTGGAACCCCAACCGAAGTGGTACTAAAAAAAGTACCAGGTACCAGGTACTGTACCCAGTGGAAAACCCCCCAGAAGTGAACCGTACCGTGCCGTACCATGCAGTGGAAAAGCGCCAAATATGTACTCACCCTGAGGTCATCCAAGATATAGTCATAGATGAGCTTGTTTCTTCATCAGAATAGATGTGGAGAAACTGGGGATTACAAACATTGCACACAACTTAAAATTCCAGGGACAGACCCAGATAAATGTTACAATCATTGAGGTGTTTTAACTGTAACCCGTTGCTTCTGGCCAAAATGTGAGTTCCTAATCCATAATAATGCATAATAACCTCTAGTGTAATGTGATGGCCTGATGGTGAGTACATTTTCAGCAAACTTTTATTTTTGGGTGAACTTTTCTGTGTGTTTACTGGTAAAACAACAATTAATAACATATTATTATTTGTATTTTTTTAATAATGCTTGCATATTTGTTACAACTTTTAGATATTTGCATGATTTCCAAGTGTATCATGGTGCTTATTTTTGTAAATGTTCTCAGAAACATAATTTCACCGTCAGAGCCGAAGTACTGTCATTTGCCAAACTCCTCACAAAAACCTTAGTAGAAGAAATACATTTTATAAAATATAGAAATATTTTATGTTACATTTTATATATATTTCTTGTTATATTGCTTGTTGCGTAATATGCATAAGAATAAAATTACCCTGCCTCATTGTTTGATGTAGTTAGTTAAAATATTATGTTTAATGTTATATTATTTTGTTGCCACATACAGTGGGTACGGAAAGTATTCAGACCCCCTTAAATTTTTCACTCTTTGTTATATTGCAGCCATCAATTATGTAACTGCTGCATAGGTATTGTATTTAAAATACAATGAATGTAACATTTATATGATGTCTTGCATATAAACTCAATAATACTGTGAGTTTTAGCCTGGAGAGCGTTGTAGAGTTGTGTGTGCAGAAGCAGCTGTATGGAGTTCAACCAGGGTCAAAGAGATAAGGAAAAGATCACTTTGTTGTTTAAAAGCTTTTATTAAGAATGTTAATATGCATTGCTAAGAACTTAATTTGGACAGCTTTAAAAGAGATTTTCATATTTAGATTTTTTTTTTTTTGCACTCTCAGATTCCAGATTTTCAAATAGTTGTATCTCGGCCAAATATTGTCCTATCCAATCCTATCCTATCAACTTTCAGATGATGTATAAATCTCAACTTTGAAAAATGTACCC